CCTCATAGGGAATCTAACCCACGACCTTTCGGCTTGTAGCATAGTGCCTCAACCAACTACGCTACCGTGTGCCCCCCCATCGTTTTCAAGTACTCGTCATTTTCTTTCCTCCTCGAAAATAACGGACCTTTCACACCCACACAAAACAATCTGAAAACTTACTACATCGTAGGCCTCTACCTTGCTGTTGAGAGTTCCGGAAAGTAAAGGCGATCATGTGAGTTCTAACGGAATAATAACAGGCATTTTCGGAAGTGATTATTATAATTTCATTATATACTTCGCGTCCTTAGATGTTGATCTCAGACATTTATTTTATATGTTAGTAAATCTTTCATTCTTGTAAAGAATAACGAACATACTCACAGTGCAGTGTAGTGTAGTGTAGTGTAGTGTAGTGTAGCTTACGAAAGACGTTGATAACAGCTCGCGATGTTGCACAAGACGGAACACACTCATTTCTCTGTTGAACTGGCGAAAGCATGTATTTGTCCTCTCCCACTGATAAACTGTTTATCCGCTGCAATGGTAACAAGGAAAGGATTGAATTACTTTACAGGCAGCAGAGCAAAATAGGAAGACACACCTATCCGCGAATGGTTGGTACAATGAAGCAAGTAATGAATGGTTCGTATCCAATAACAGTATACTTTTATATGCAATGCGTTAGAAGTACCACTAAAACACTCTTCCAGTTATTTCAGAACATCCTTTGCCATTTATTACGAGGTCGGACAGTCGAGAAATTAACAGTAGTACAATGTATAACCAAGGGGCACGCGGTAGCGTTAGTTGGTTGAGGCACTATGCCACAAGCCGGAAGGTCGCGATTTCGAGTCCCGATGAGATGATTTTTTTTTTCAATTTACCTAATCCTTCCAGCCAATCTGTGACCCTGGGATCGACGCAGTCTACCAGAAATGAGTACCAGGAATCTTCCTGGGGAGTGAAGGACGGGCGGCACGTAAGGCTGACAACCTCACCGCCGTCTGTGATCCGATTGTCTAGAATATGTGGGAGCGTCGATGTCTCACAAGTCTGTGGGCCTCACGGCCCAGGGCACAGGGATAGCTTTATTTTTTTATAATGTTTAACCAGTCACTAAATACAACTCTCAAACGAACCCACAAATACACTCCGGCTGCGCTCATAAGATGGCCCCCCCTTCCCAATACGCACCAGTAGGACAACATTGACGTACTTTTTTTTTGTCATTAGTCCTGTAATCTAAGTGGACATGATTATTGACATTGAAAGGAGAAGGTGCCGTAAAAGTGAATTCACAGTCCCCCCACAGGGGAAGATATTTTTTAATTTGTCAGTTGTAATGTAATTGGCAGGAAGGTTATCTCGACGTCACATATTTTCTGAACTCCACCTGTAACCATTCTGTCATGGCGGTATCAGACTTTCGGTACAGAACAGCATTCTTGCCATTCACTGTAGGAATGTGAGCAATTTGTAGAACTAGCTGGAGAGAGCCCTCCGCTCACTCACCTAGCCATGCAGTTCCCTGCTTTTATGGATCCCGAAGCTCGCCATTCGTCCTGAACCATGTAGATCCACTGTACACCTTTAAGACATACTTCTAGCTCACGTTCCTAAAGTAGGCTTATGCGATCTCCATCCTGTCTGTGTATCCCCCCCTATCAACTTCTGAATGCCTGAACCAGTCTTTATGAAACTTGGCATGTATATCATGGTAATTGAGCCCATATCATCGGCGTACTTCATAGATCCCTCCCGCCAGTCTGTGTGTCTGTATGTGTATCCATCCTAACATTGCAAGGCTATGGCTGAGTTAAGTTCCCTCCTTTCGGTACTAGGCAACGGCTCGGTAAACACGTTCCCACTGCAAAGAATACACGCAGAAATAGAGTAATTCTTGCACCCGCCATTTTCAGTGCGTTCCGTGTCTTATCGAAGGAGAGCCTGTGGGTCTGTTTGTGTGTCCCTTTATCGTTGCTAGCTAAGGGCTCGGTAAAAACGTTCCCGCGGCAGCGAAGAATTGTTGGAGGCGTCATTTTCTGTGCGGTACATGTTATATCAACGGAAACTAGGCGATTTTTTTTGTCCCCAAAACTTCTTGTAATATCTTCCTATCTGAGCCATGGCCCTCCGTCAGTTCAGTTCCCTTCATGTTTTCCGTCTAAAGTTTTGTATGCATTTATGCCATTAGGAAAGTCCAGGAAAACCAGCTGGAACTGAAATTAAATGGGACACTTCAGCTGCTGGTCCATGCTATGAGAAAACAAAGTATATGTTTGCCGTGTCGTCACCAGAATGCAGGGTAAAATCATGACTTGAAGATAGCTAACAGATTAAGTTTTGAGGTTTTTCACGGCGATGACTATGAAGAAAGTCGTCTTCTGGGTTTAGGCGCCGTGTATTCTTCGTTTTGGCCGACGTTTCGGAGGAACGTATCCCCTCCATCTTCAGAGCGGTTGAATGGCTTGGAATGCAGAGAGCAGTAGCTCTGCTCTCTGCTCTGAAGATGGAGGCGATATGTTCCTCCGAAACGTCGGCCAAAACGAAGAATACACGGCGCCTAAACCCAGAAGACGACTTTCTTCCTAGCTAACAGATGTTTTGAAAATGTGGTACAGTTCAGATATTTGTAAACGACTATAACTCACGTACGCGCACATACACAAACACTAAACATCCATGCCCTGAGTGGGAATCAAACCCACGATCCCAGCTTTCTAGCGAGCGAAGACGGTGCATGCCTCAGACCGCTCGGTTACGTTGCCCAGCAATTTATTGCAAGTAGTGGACTGAAATTGGCCCGGAAATGTGCTAAGTTGGCAGCACCATCTGTTAGCAGATTATTGTTGTAACATCTGTAGAGTTTTGCAATGTAAATTGGGGCATCTCCTTTCGTGCATGTGCCAAGTCACATCATAGGCCACTTTCTCGGAAGAAGCGAGCAAGGGTCACTGGTTGCCGTGGCCTTCAGTGGCTCATCTGATCATCGATTGAATGTTAATTTGAATGTGGAAGGATGTGACAACGCGACTGACGCATGCCGGAGGACTTTCTCAGAAGCGGCTCGTGGCTTGATGTAAACTTGGTCTTCCAGAGTAATTTTGTTAAACTGTGCCTTAAAATGCTGTGGTACTGCAAGTACTTATTCCACACGAACGTGGCCTCACAGATACAGATGCCGTAACGGTTTTATAAAATAATTGAAAAGCCCATTAAGAACGATTATAATTGTATCACAGAATTATAATAGGCATTGCTGTGGACGCCAGAAGTTTCTTAGGCCTCATGACGTCTACTTCTCTTCACATGCGCCACTGTGTAGATATGTTATACCGGCGCTAGTGAGAATTATGAATCAGCAATTGTCAAATTTATTGGTACCTTTCTGCTCATAGGATAATTTCCACTAGTAGATCTACAGACTGCTAATCACAGTGGCCGCGCGGTCTAAGGCATGAATCGTCTTTGCGCGCTCGAACACTCGGATCGTGGGTTCGAATCCCATCCGAGACATGGATGTCTGCTTTTATTCAGTGTTTGTGTTGTTCTGTGTGTAGGTAGAGTCCTTGTGACGGGCTGATCACCCGTCCAAGGAGTCCTAACGACTGTGTATAGGATTAAGAAACTGAAAAAGCGGCCAAGGCCCACAGAGCCATAGATAGATCTACAGACTCAAAAAACAGTATATTTTTATTTGTAACTAATAATTTATAAGTAAGTTATTAATCCGTGTTCAAAATTCGCGTGCTTAGTTTCACGGTCCGTCAGTTATCGTCATGAAACCGAAAGCGAAATAAAGATTTCACGCAGTTGCCATGCCTCTCCCCAAAGGCCTTATCAAAAGTTACATATTTTTCAAAACTATGTTGCCACATATCACTTCAGGATCTACTGTTAGCACTCCAGGAATGGCGCAGTGTTGCTCACACTTGACAAGTTCTTCAGAGTGAATGCGTGTTTGCTATTCCAAATTATCCTATATTTGTCATCGAATTATCGGAAGATTGTTGACCCTGTAGTCGCCTGCGTAAACATTTACGACCTTCAATTAAAATGGATTGCATATTACTTAAATAAACTGTTTATCTTCGTCGTTTCTGAATATTTGTTGAGGAGAGCAACAGAAATCACAAACTTTTCGAATCTGACGAATGACGAGGTTAGAGGATGCTCAAATTCTTTTCTATTTTTTGCACTAACAAATTTAGTATTGGAACAAGAATGTAAACTTAAACGCTAATAACAAATATTATACCCTGTTGAACCCGAATCATTTCTAGAACCGCTGGGCGAGAATACTGCAGTATCCGTCCGTTTCCACATAACGGGGTTTGCTGACAAAAGCTCTTGCCAGTCTTTATATTCAGTGTTGGTCACATTGGCAACGACAGCTAACGAAGCCTGCAGTATGACTTGAAACAGTGTAACAAAGGTCGGTGTTCTAGTGCTTAGTGCAGTGTAGAAGCTTTTGGGATAGTATCACTGAAATAGGGGGCTGACGTGTAATATTCGGGTAAAATTTGTGGATATCTGAGTGGTGCCTGAGACTGCCCCCTTCCTGCGATTTGTTGATGTATGCACATTTATTTTGTACAACTAGAATATGCTTCCAGTAATTTTTTCTATTGCTAGTGGGGTGGGACTAAGTCCCTTGTACTGCGACCACTTCTGGCCTATTGTACCAGCCCCAGATGATAGACGAGGGTGTTGTGGAGCAATTGGTGGAATGAAGATTGGCAGGGGAAACCGAAGTACTCGGAGAAAACCTGCCCCAGCGCCACTTTGTCCACTACAAATCCCACTTTACCAAACCCGGCATCGAACTTGCCGCCGCGGTGGGAAGCCAGCGACTAACTGCTTGAGTTATGGCGCGGCCTTGCTCCCAGTACTAGGCCTAGTAGGTCTTTTCGTATGTTTCGTACCCAGCGTTTAAAGAGTTTCTCTTTATTCCCCCTCCCTCATCGCCTGGATATTCTGCCGTGGGCCGATGTAAGCCTCAACAGTTTATCAGCGTGAGGGTCATAGAAGAGTCCTTCGCTTGCTGCTGACAAGTCAGTGTGTGTCGAATGATAGTGGGCAGTGTTTGTTCCGTCATAGGCGAATTATTGCTTGGTTAGGGTTAGCCCCTCGATCGTGTGGAGACAAATTTTTCTTGTCATTTCCGCTCACGACTGTTAAATTCACGTATTTCTCGATGACATTGTGCAGACATGATGAAATGCGATGACATTGATCAGTGCACGTGACACATTTGAAGGTGAGCGTTGCGTTTCGTTTTGTTTGTAGGGAATACTAATTCGTGACAACGGCAGTGTGGGTTTGGATTGGGTGCTGGTAGGATGTGTTGTGTATGTGCAGCATGAAGCTATTGTTAATTGTGATATACTTAATCCTATAGTTACTCAGTCTAACCTGCAAGAAATTCCCACACATGGGCTTGGTTTGGGGATCAAACTTTATTTGTATAGAAATTTGAGATGTAGTGTATATCCTGTACCATTCTTTTTTTTTTCTTCCCGCCAAAATGCGTAGATGTTATAGTTATTTAAATGCCATGGAGAGTTAACGAAGTGTTTGCGAGTGTTTATTTCTAACGTTTATATGTAATCTGTTTTCATAATGAATGTTATATACAGACATTGATGCTTTGTTCTCCGTATTTACCACCGGTGATTAGCACCACTGGTTACACTTACTTCTTACACTTAATCCATTGAGCCATATTCCGGGGGGAGGTAAAGAATTCAAATCTTCAGCCACTTAACCCGAAGCAGTATGAGAGCTTTGTGTTCTGCGCATAATATTTATTTATAAAACAAAGTTTGGATATAAGAAATTTTCAGTGTAGTTGTACGTGTGAATTTATGAAAGTCTGTTTCTTATGTATTCAACTCCCTGCGTTTATTCAACAATGGCATCTTTTTTCTGTTGGGAATGGTGTCAGTATAAATGTTCTCGTCTTTGTGAAAATAAGCTTTAGAATTTACAGTTGCCTTTGGTGCACGTTCGGGGCATGCAGTCCCAGTTCCAAGAGACAACCGTGCGTCAGTGTGATTGGGGCCATTTAAACCCAAATACGTACGTTCACGGAACTGATGTGGGACGGACTGAACTGCCCACGTGTTCTGTTTCACAAGAGTGCGAAATTGTTTGCTTTTATTTAGCGTGGTTTGGGTTAACCACACGTGAAAATCAAGTGTGTTGAAATGTATGTGAGAGTTGCTATTCACAGTACGTAACCTTGACGTATTGAGTTTTTTTATTTTATTGCTAGTGTGGTGGGATTAAGTCCCTTTTACTGCGGCCACTTCTGACCTATTGTACCAGCCCCAGATGATAGGTGAGGGTGATTGTGGAGCAATTGGTGGAATAATGATTGGCAGGGGAAACCAAAGTACTCGGAGGAAACCTGCCCCAGCGCCACTTTGTCCACCACAAATCCCACGTGACCAGACCCAGGGATCGAACCCGGGCCGCCGCGATGGGAAGCTAGCGACTAACCGCTTGAGCTATGGCGCGGCCCATCGTATTGAGTTTTTTATTGCTAGTGGGGTGGACTAAGTCCCTTGTTGTGCGGCCACTTCTGGCCTATTGTACCAGTATGTATTGAGTTGCTCAGACACAAAAATAAATATGCGAAGAAAGCCCGCAAGAATGGTGTAAAAATTTTTGCCCATTGTTGCTAATTTGCTTTCGTGATATCTAGTGAAGTGTTAACAGATTGATGTATACAATGACATCGTTATGTATGCGGCATCATACAAAATATCCCCCAGAATGAAAATACTGTAGATGATATTTATAAAGCAATATGATAGAAATTATATGCTACATTAATTTTAGTTTGGTGGCGTATCATCCATCTTGAGAACTTCTGTTGGCTGTGTAAATTATTTACAGTAAACTTCTGTCACATTTGCATACAGTGAAGTTTTATAAGTCTGTTATTTATCGACGCTGCGAGTGTCTGGATTAGATAGCGTCGACGGTAGGATGATTAATGAATGTGGAACAGTTGGAATTAAAATTGGCAGGGAAACCGAAGAACTAAGAGTAAACTGGCCCCATTACTGCTTTCTCCATGCAGTGAGGTATTTATGAGAAATTTGTTTATGAAATAGGCTTCAAAAATTTCGGGATAAACATGGTTATTATGGTAGTCTTCTCCTTGGTTTCCCAGGATAGGTTCTGCGTAAGAATGAGGGTTCACAGAGTTCTTCGTTACAAACTCAGAACTGTAGATATCGTTACAATCAAAACATTAGGCACTCCAGTAATAGCCCAATAAAGATAACAAAGAAATGGGTTTACAGTTTGCAAAATTTTGAGAATTACAGTTGTAAGCATGTTAAAACTCAGGTCAAAGAGAGGGTGGCAAGTACACCATGAAGTAATACAAATGAAAATTGTATGTTATTTAACTTTAAAAATATTAAACATGGAAAGTTGTCTGCCTAATGTTTGCATAAAAGAACTAGACCTAATGTATTTTTATTTGCGCGTATTGCGTACAAGGTTATATGTATTGACACAACCAGAGTACTTGGCGATTGGGAATATGCTGTCATTGTCATAATGTATAAAGCCATACTCCAGTGTAATCTCTGAAACTGGTACTGCACTCCAGAACATTGTTCCGTAGTGATAGAAGGATTTCAGATGGACCGAAGAAGGGTTCAGGCTATTTCAGATACAAGAGGTTAGAGAGGCACCACGTAATCAAAAAGATTTGTGGTTGATTTAATGTACATATTTGTAGTATACAGTATACATGTTACACACGTTCATAAGCGCACATTTATGCACATGGAAGTTTTACTTTTTTGGTCAGGACATATTCCAGAATAAGAACCTGCTAATTTTTCAGCAGGCTCTTTCTTAAAAACTCAGAAGAGAGGAGTGGGTGCCTATGCAAAACGTAATTTGTGTGTGAGATTTTGTTTAATTTTTATTCTGCAGAATTAATTGGAATAAAAGGATTATGCTATACGTTTTGGATAAATGTTTCATCCATAATAGTTGAAAGGGATATGAAGGCTGAAAACTCTGCTTTAGAATACAATATATATATATTTCCCTAGTGCCTCTATGTGTAATCAGAATGAGCATCAGTGGTCTGTATCTTTCACTCCTTTGTTTGTAGTTGCTCAACTTGGTTGAGAGAGACACGGTTTGGTAGTTTGTGGTTGAGACGGGGTGCAGCAACTTGATCAGTCCCACAGTTTGAATTGTTGTGAATGCCATTCACTCGGTCAACAACAGTGTGTGCGGTGGATGTGCCTTCTGTACTGGCTCTGCCTGCTGCACGCATCATAATCTCCACTGCTTTGCGTGACCTACGAACAGCTGCTGTTCTCTTCAAGTGAGTGCAGAGAGGATATATTCTGATTTGGAGTTTTTATTGGCATCGTGGCACAGCAAGAAGTTTGGCATTCTCGTCCTTAGGTGTTTACAGCCTGTGTCTGATTTGTAATTTAGGCATTTGCTATCTTCAGGGTGTATGAGGTGGAGTGAGGTTGCTGCATAATATATGTCTTGCAGTAGAAGTAAGGATGATCTGTAATGGGCCATAGTTCTTTCTCATTGGATAGCACAATGCTCCACATGTCCGCCCTTACCTATATTGCAAGATCTACATATTGGGCTTTGTCCTTCACCTTGAAGGTGGTGGCTGCAATGTATGCCAACATGTTGGAACACCCCCAACAAACGACACAGGCAAACCTCAGAAGCCAAAATTACACACAAAAGTCTAGTGTGTTCCGAGTTTCTGTCAGGACTTGCAGTGGGAACAAAATGGCCATCTCTTGTAAATTTGATTCCAAGCTTAAAGTAACTGAATTTCACGGAACCACGTCCAAATCTGTATCATTACTAAATATGAAGAGAGTTGTCATATTGTAAAAAGTAAAATGTTTGTTTGGTCAATACTAGTGACATCCCTTCCTAAGTCAATGGGTTCTGGCTTCCTGCTTGACATACTATTCAAATAATCATTGTCTTACACTTTATGTTATTCTCAGCAGACATACATCATCATCAAAAAGGTTTCACGGCTTGCAGTGTCAAAATGTGATTGTTTAAAATCAGTAGTTAGTTGAAAAATTTATAATTAATGATTGCATTGCTGGTTTCGTGGACTTTCTTAGGCTGCATAAGAAGGGCTTCTTACGTGTTCAATATCCACATCAGAGTGCTCATCCTGTTTTCTTTGTAGGCATTTCACTACCCATTTCATGAAACATTTTGTACCAGTCTTGTCTCGTCTTGTAGTAGGCTGATATCCGCAGTATGTTTGTCTAAACATTCTTTGCACTTCAGTACTGGACTTAAATTCAGCTAACCATAGTGTGTATTGTACTCTTACTTGTGGAGTCTTAATTGTACTATGGTCTTTGGTTACACTCGTAATTGTGGTGTGCTGCTTTGCCAGTTCATGTGCGCAGGAACACATTAATTTGCAGCTGGCACAGACTTGATGTGTTCACCTTCATTTCATTGTTTTTCTTAAGTGTAATAGTTAAGAAAAATATAGTGTCCTAAAGTCCTGGATGTCCAGATGTTGACATATGGTTAAACACATCCTGAATGCTTAATGAACTCACTTTTTTAATTGATGGTAGTAGGATTATATGTGTTTTCCTTTGTTGTTGGCCATGGAAAGCATTGCCAATATACTGTAGGAGTTACAAAATGGAATGTCCTATGAACAAATTGTCACCAGGTTAGTAAAGGAAATTCAGTAGGTGTCTCATTGTTTATGAAGAGCATTTGTGAATAAGAGTATCATATAATTTACTCACTTTTATTTGTCTGGACCCTGTTTCTTCTTGTTGGCTTCTTTATTGAATTACTGAAATATATCAACAGAAAGACTAGATCAGATATGTTTCTGAGGAAACATCTTCAGTACTTCAGGGTTTGTGGAGTTGTTTTTCCTAGTTGACGGCATTGTATTGAAGGTGAACTGTATTTAACAATGGCAGGAACACACCAAAACAGTTAAAATGTGGCATGAAGTCTCTTTATCCCTGTTGTGTTTCTGCATAGTATGAATTTGTACTTTTGCAGGTGGTTCCATGGCCATCTATCAGGCAAGGAGGCAGAGAAGTTGATACTGGAAAAGGGGAAGAATGGAAGTTTCTTGGTTCGAGAGTCCCAGAGCAAACCTGGAGACTATGTATTGTCAGTTCGCACAGATGACAGGGTCACTCATGTCATGATACGCTGCCAGGTACAATTTCTGTGTTCTTTACGTGAAGTAAAAAGAAAATAATGCCTTGTAGGCATGCTGTGCCCATCCATGTCTTTTATCTCTTGAGTCTGCTATTAACTCTACGATTTTTTATTGACCTATGCTAAAATTTGGGTGATAATAATTTGGGCCTTATTAATTATAACATGTTATAGCCTTAATTACCACAAGTTTTTACACTTTATAAATGTACATGAAATTAAAAATATATTGTCATATAACAGTAAAATATGTGATGATAATGTCTTGCCCATCTGAGTGGCTGTAGCCATTTTAAAGACTGCTGTGTGGAGGTAGGTAATGGTGTAAATTTTGTGTCATACACATACACGAGCTCATGAACACACACACAGAGTGTATATATGTATTATTTTTATGTTTATATAACATTAAGAATCGTTTACTGCTAAAAGAAATAATGAACTCCTAGCCCACATGATTCATTCATATGGACCAACTTAGTTTCTGTACATTTTTTCTAGGATAACCTCCTTACTGATATGCAATACATTCTTTGTTTTGGGGTCTTTATGTTTTTCTCTCTTCGGAATGGTAAATTCTAAAATGAGGTTGAAAGGCAGTGGTGATTAAGCATTCCCCCCCCCCAGACCACTCTGGACAGGAAATTCATCTCCTAGATGTCTGTGTACACCTAGGTTGTGTTGACAGCAGTAGAATGCTCTTCTTCTAAGTGCTGTATAAACCTACGAACAGCTTCTTAAAATAAGCCACAATTAACAGTAATTCAATTCAATTCATGTTTATTTACATGCAAACTTAACAGCACAGAGGCCAATTACAAAGCTAGCAGGAATAGAGAAATACACAAAAATAATTAAAAAACAAAATACAAAAATGATAGTCTACATTAATTACACAGTGAGTATGAATAAAGATACAGAAACATACAGAGACAAAGCCACAATGTGAGAATTTGAGTTTAAAATAGAGCAACATTCAATAATAATAACAAAATTAATAAAAATAAGGATAATAATGGTAATAATAATAATAATAATAATAATAACTCAATAATTATAATAATAACTCGATCAACATACCTATCACTGAGAAGTAAGAAGATTAAAATATATACAATTTCAATTTGATTGGAATAGACATGGCGGCAATAAAATATAAAACAATTCAAGTTTTAATGGATTAATAATAATAATAATAATAATAATAATAATAACTCAATAATTATAATAATAACTCGATCAACATACCTATCACTGAGAAGTAAGAAGATTAAAATATATACAATTTCAATTTGATTGGAATAGACATGGCGGCAATAAAATATAAAACAATTCAAGTTTTAATTGATCAATAATAATAATAATAATAATAACAACAGTAACAATAACAATAACAATAATAAGCCAACAATGGTTGTAGAAACCATTCCTCCCAGATAAAAAGTGAAAGTGAATAGTTCGATATGCATTTTGGAGGGATTATAGTAGAGTACGTGTAATAGTAACCGAATGTTGTGATTGAATTTTTAGCACTGCTGCCTCATGTTTGGCCTGTACTGATTCCTGAAACCAGCTTCCCACTATGACAGTACCTTAAAATAGGCCACATACATTTTCTTTCTCACCGTCTACCATTATCATTCCTAACCATCCACACATTCAATGATATATAACCTATGCAAATGAGAAAGTGCTACTGAAGTAAGAAACTAAGATAAGTTATGAAGTTAATCTTACTTGTTCACTCAAGGAATAGTGGTGTAAGTTAGAAACCATATTGCTTTTCTTTGTTTGTGCAGGATAACTGTTATGATGTTGGTGGAGGGGAGAGATTTGATAGTTTGAGTGAACTCATAGAACATTACAAGAAGAACCCAATGGTGGAAACAAGTGGAACTGTCGTCCATCTGAAGCAGCCATTTAATGCTACACGCATCAATGCAAGTGGCATTGATAGTCGTGTGAAAGAGCTGCAGGTATGTTGTATAACATGAAAACATTGTTGTGGGGCAACTGCTGAAACAGACTGACATGATGATGTGGTACTTCAGACATTGTATAAAGTAATAGCTGTTGGAACTGCAAGGCAGATGCTCATTAGAACTTTACCAGGATATTACAGTCAATTCTTGATTATCTCTGGGTGTATTACTGGATTGCTTCACATATTTACTGACATTAAAAAACCCCGTATGTGTGATGTATTCCATTATCACATGGAAGATGACCCCAGTAAAAAATTTCAGCACTCAAGTTTGAGCAGGATAGCTCCAGTGACCAGTGAGCAGGAGTGTCACATGATCCTAAACATGACCTTGCAGCCATGTAACTTTGAGGTGAAACACTAATTTGTATCAAAGAAATGTTATGGGCATGACATGCTGATCAAGGTCATAAGTATGTGAAGAGCTTAATGGAACGAAATAAACCCTCTTTGACGAGGTTTTCACAGCAGTGACTTCTGTAATGTAATGCCATACAGTACATTTTGTAGTACTGTACCACCTCTCACTTCAGGGTTGAAGGTAAGCCAAGCAAGAAACCAGCAAGGAGCAGGTGGTGAGTAGGGTTGCTACCTGCTTCTTACTGGTTCTTGTTTGTATTATTCTTTAACCCTGAAGATGGAGGCAGTACGAGGGGGTACCAAAAAGAAACCGAACTTATTTTTTTTAAACTTATTTATTCAAATTTTAAGCACAAACCTTCAATCCCCTTCAAAGTACTCTCCACTTACACTAATACACTTGTCTAGTCTTTTATTCCATTTTTCAAAACATTGTCTAAATTCGTCTTTTGAGATGCTTGACAGCGCCTCCGTCTTTTTTTCCTTCAACTCAGCAACATCAGCAAAACGCTTTCCTTTCATGTCTCTTTTCATTCGAGGAAACAAAAAAAAGTCGCACGGGGCAAGGTCGGGTGAGTATGGAGGGTGAGGAACAGGGGTCATACCATTTTTGGTCAAGAATTGTCATACAGACAGGGCTGTGTGAGGAGGGGCATTGTCATGATGGAAAAACCAGTCACCCGACTGCCACAAATCTGGCCGCTTCCGCCGCAAACTGTTGCGCAATCTTTTCAAAACTTCCAAGCAGAAAGCCTGGTTAACTGTCTGACCCTGCGGAACAAACTCTGAATGGACGACTCCTCTCACATCCAAAAAAACAAATCAGCATTGTTTTCATGTCTGATTTCACCTGACGAGCTTTCTTGGGGCGAGGCGAACTTGAAGTCTTCCACTGGCTTGATTGTTGCTTTGATTCAGGATTGTAAGCAATGCACCAGGTTTCCTCACCGGTGATAATTTTTGAAAAGAAGTTTTGATCATTTCGGGACTCTTCTTTCAAAGCACAGCATGCTTCCACGCGACCTTGTTTTTGTTAAGCAGTCAGCAGTCGTGGCACGAATTTCGCAGTCACCCTTTTCATTCCCAAATCTTCTGTCAAAATTCGCTGAACTGAGCTCCAAGTCACTCCTGATAGCTCCACAATTTCTTCAATGGTCCGTCAATCTTCCTTGATGAGTTCACGAATTTTTTCAACATTTTCATGTGTTTGGGCCGTGGAAGGATGACCAGAACGAGGTTTGTCATCAATTGACATCTCACCATTTTTGAAACTGGAAAACCACTCAAACACTTGAGTTTTCCCCATAGCATCGTCCTTGTATGCCGTTTTTAACATTTCAAGAGTTTCTGTTCCACTTTTCCCGAGCAAAAAGCAAAAAGCGACCTTCCAGCTTGTAGCATAGCCCCTCAACCAACGCTACCGTGTGCCTCCATCTTACCTCTAGTGGCTTTACCAAAGGAGAATTGCAATTGCAATGAAGAAATGCGATAGTGAATCAGGAGAGCAAATTAGAAAATTAAGAAATTAATTTCCCTGTTTTCATACTTTATTAATGTGCCTTAAAGTTTTGGTCTCAATATACATTGAATCTGTTGCACTGAATAATTACAGGCTGGCTGTGTATCCACCCTTTAAGCTTCTGCAATATATTGGTTTGTTAGTATATTAAAGAACGTTTAGTTTAATTATTTAAATTACATTTTAGAAAATTTACCTTGTAGTTACCTGAAACTATAACCCATTTAGTTATGAATGAATTTTATGTTCTAGAATTTGCAGCAGGAGTGATGGTGGGTTAAGAATGAAAACTCCAGATAATGTCCTAATGTAGAGAATGTTTAATATCGCAGCAACAAGAAGTGTATGACTTGAAGTGAGACTCCTGTTTCATTTTCCAGAAAGAGAATGGGCAGTTGACAGGAAAGGCAGGATTCTGGGAGGAATTTGAGTCATTGCAGCAGCAGGAGTGTAAACACTTGTTTTCCAGGAAGGAGGGACAGAAAACAGAAAACAGAAACAAGAATCGCTACAAGAACATTCTACCATGTGAGTCCTAGTACTTCACATATTTTGTATGCCCATGTTGGTATTCCCTGCTGTACTAAATCTGGAATGAATCATATTTCCTATAGTATTCTAACTACTGCTTTATATCAACATGCTTCTTTTGTTGGAGTGTGTCCTCATAGATTTTTGATCTAATGTTATAACTCATACATCATGATGTAACAATTTTCCCATGACTTAATCACCTGTCAGGCTGAACACTTAGACATTAAATAGATCTTAGTGTTAGAAGCAGTTTCTTCATATGTGACAAGGGATTTGTCTGTTTTAATGGTAAATTGTCATAGTTCATATGGCTGATCATGTGCTGGCTTTTAGCCATGGAGGGTTGGGTGAAATCCCAAGTCTTTTCATATGAGATATACGATGCACATAGGGCACAGTGATAAGTTTTGATCTGATTTTTCTCTTAATCTGTGTCAGTCATTCCTTCAGTTCCCTAAGGTGTGTGAAACCCTTGACTAGCCATTATGTTACAACCTCAGTCAGTTTGCACTTAACTGCATGTCATTCATTATGGGACACAGTAAAGAAGTTCAGTTTCTTTGTTAAACTTACAAGATTAAATTAGGAACAAATGTCAGCTGTCTTCTCATCTTTATTATCTGCTAAGCCTGAAACATATCATTTCTGCTATTTTTATATTTGATGTTAACAAAATAGCTGAATTTTTAATGAGTTATCCAATATTTGAAACCTATAAACAATTTGTGCAGGCTGGTCATGCTTCAGATTTGGCAGTTAATGTTTAATGCCATCTATTGGAATTATGAAGCAGAAGCACTTCTCTAACACTAATGTGGAGGTGCCCATTACTGCAACTTTCCAAACTTGTGAAACAAGAATGTGTGCTTAACCTATGTCCATATTTCATAGATTGACTATTAGAGAAAATATTTTCTCCATATTCTTTCCTGCCATACTTCCAAGATCAAAACCTCAGTTATGTGATTTATTTGTACCATATCCATACCCTCTGTTGTTTGTTCATAATCCCAGAGATCCTCTTCTCTGTATTTTCATTCTCTGAACTATTTAATTAATTCTTGGATTTCTTATGTACCAAAACACTTAAACATGTTTTTCTATGAAATAGCCTGTAACTTTTTAACTTTTATCCTTTCACTCTGTTAATTGAGTTTAATGTTATGTTTAACACAAAGCAGCGTGTATTAACAGTGAAGTAAGGATCTTGGTTTCATTGAATTATAAATTTCACTACATATTTCTTTCAGTTGATCATACTCGGGTGAAGTTGAAAGATGTGGATCCAAATGTTCCGGGTGCAGAGTACGTCAATGCAAATTATATTAAGGTAATTTGCATGATAGTAATAAGAGCTGCATGTTGTGCCTCACTGTGATTGGTCATCATAGGGGTTTTGGTTGAGTGCATGTTGAATATCAGCATTCATCTGGTCCTGACCTTCCTGTTTACTTATTGTGAATTACCTAAGCCTTCTCTGGCAGAACACAACTTGTTATTTACAGAGTGAGAACATTTAACGAAGATTATACTTTGGAAAATATAGCGTTTTAAAAACGAATGAATCATTGATAGTAGCACCGTATTATGGGAATGGAAAGCAGTGGGATTGTGTTGCCTGACCTAAACATGTGCTTGTTTGATCAGTATCAGGACCTCCACCTAGAACATGCAGGAGAACACTCAGCTAAGTATGTAGCCTGAGGTTTCCTGCAAAGATGCTAGAGATTGTTTTACCTGTAAGAAGTGGTTTTCACATTCTCTTGAGAGCCCAGTTTAGTTCACTGAAGTCAGTCAGCACGTTCAGTTAGTGAGTTACTGAGTCAGTCAACTATTTAGTGAGTCACTCAGTGTTCAGTCATGTGCAGTGCAGTGTTGAGAAGTTCAGAGGAGATGTGAGTGGTGTGAGTGAGCACTGGTGTTGCTGTAAAGTAACAAGTGAACAGGGACTAATGTCAAGAACATAAGTGGTTATGAGCAGACAAATATTGTTTCATAAATTGATAGTCATTACAGTAGTGTTGTATTGAACTATAACTCTGTGCATACATGAATTTTTATATATGTTGTAGTTTGCAAATGTCTGTTTTCCCAAACAATATTAGATTCTGTTTTTATGTACATTTTTCTCTGTCTGGTGATACAGGACATCTGTTTATTCTTTAACAAGAATAAAATCAGGTCAAGTAGATATGTTATATTGCAGCATTTCTTCCGTCTATATGATTCTGAATGCTTTCAGTACATTTTATTCTAACCTTTCCACTCTCAGAGTGTAACATCCAGGACTATGGTCTTGTGCCAAAAATGGTTACCAGTTCCTAGTTAAAATAATTCCATCTTGATATTTTTTCCCAGGTTTGTCCAGGGGTATGTTTTTACAGACCAACTGTTGCTTTCTTGTTATAGCCGGAGGAGGAACTCTTCCAAGATGGACACCCCAAATACTACATTGCAACACAAGGTTGTCTTCCGAGCACTATGTCAGACTTCTGGGACATGGTCTGGCAGGAGAATACTCGTGTCATTGTCATGACCACCAAGGAGATTGAGCGAGGCAAGGTATGAATTAATTGCTGTACACAAAGTTGTTGCTTCTTGAAAAAATGACAGATTGTATTCATTTACAAGTAAGGAAACATGATAAAACATTGGCAGGAGAAAAGCCCGTGACACATGGATCGTTAAAGAGGTGCCACATATTTCCCATATACAGTACGATGACAGGACATCCCAGAATTTATATAGAATATTCAGATAAATTTCCCCATGTGGAGATGGGTTGAAATGCCTCCACTGTAGCCCTGTGAGTCATATGATGCAACAGAAATGGAATCTGATGATGNGGGGGGGGGGGGGGGGGTTAACTGGGCCACCCTGTGTCTGGGGGACATAAATAGAGGGACCTGGTCCTCCAGGTTGTGGGTTGGACATAAGGCTGATGACCTTGCTCTGTAAAAACATTACTGTTGCAAAATCCAAAGAAGTAAAAACTGGATGCAGTCTGGCAAAATCTTTTGAGGAAGGCTGTGGTTCAAAAAGGACTATTTTGCAAATGACGATTCAGATAAATTCTTTGTCAGAGATAATTTTTTTAGACCTTAAAATTTTTGTAATTTTATCTGTATTCAGTTTGGTTAGCTCTTTAAATATTTCTTCTGACAGGTAACACATGTTATGGAGAACACAAATTGCCATGTGAGGAAAGAAAAAAGGTACTCATAAAGTTATCCCTGTGCTTACTATTCAAGCACTATGCCATGAAAGCATATGGGGGAGTGGATGTATAGATCCACATTTTTCTTGACCTAGGCACTAAATGGAGGTGAATAGTCAGTTTTACACCCAGGGAAAGAGCCTCTGGTACCCATTGGATAGGAGGCTGGGTGGACCCCAGAGCTGGTCTGGATGACCTGGAGAAGAGAAAATTCTTGACCCTACTAGGACTCACACTCTGATCCCTTGATCGTCCTGCCTGTAGCCAGTTGCTGTACTAACTATGCTATCCCAGGCCTCATGTTTGGAGTTTTTCTTATGTTTTTCGCATTTGTTTTAACTCTCACTGATGGTTTATGTTGTGGCTCGTTCATATAGCCTATCTTATGTTGGTGCTGGTATCTGGAGATAGGGACTAGCTCTATTGAGTGAGCCAGACTGAGTAGCATTTTACATATAATTTTACAATATTGGGGTGTTAGCTAATTTGGTTGGATAATTTTAGGTTATGTGGTAGATTGAAGATATAACTACAAGCCAGATACTAGCTCAGCAGTTAAAGGGTTCTGAGTTTCGTTTCCAACTACCTGAAACAATAATTAGCTGTAATTATATGGAAACCTAAATCTGGGACTATAACGATCTCCCTAAATACATTCTGACTGACTGAAGACTCATACCAGATGCAGAGGTGCTCTGACAAAGGCCATGATATTCAGTAAAGTGCAGCATTTGGCACAAATATGATAAGTTTGAAAATCCACCTTCTCAATGTTGACAGAACAAGTGTGTGCGCTACTGGCCCGAGGAGTGCCAAGGGAAGGAGTATGGCAAAACAAAAGTGCGCAATTTGTCAGAATCTTCTACAGCTGATTACACACTACGAGAGTTCCTTGTGTCAAGAGAAGGGTCAAGTGAAGAAGAGAGGAAGGTGTACCATTATCACTTCCAGGTACTGAACATGTTGCATGGTCACTTTATTTATAAAGAATCATTGTAATACTTGCTGCTGTACTTCAGAGAATTCACATATTCTATTATGGGATGTTCTATCCATTTGTAAAGCTCTAAATCACGAAGTATTTAAATAGGTGCAAAATTACGATTAGCAGTTTTGTTTCTTCTAAGGCAAATGACTAGTACAATTTTAAATTGTAACTGCTTTTATATTTCCTCAAGTTTGTATTTTAATGAATTTCCACTTTATTTTTTTAATCCTAACAATGGAAATGTTTTGTTTTTGAAATTTCAAAGAACCATTGGCAGGTTTTCTTAGTAAAATATATATGTTTTTTTTGTGTTTGAACCCCACATGAATGAGGGCAACCAGTCACAGATACACACTTCATGCTCCAATTATGCTCAAGTAGCTTCAGCCAGCCAATTAGGTGATATTGACAATGTCTGTGCAATGCTAAGCATTGTATAGAAATGTGGTAAACCATTTGTTAACTTTTTGGGCATGAAATATAATAGTAAAACAAAGAGGAAAGCATTCACAATAAATGATAACATTAGTATTATTGCACAGGTTGATGCATATATTGGAGCATGTGTTCAACTGACATTGCAGTCGGGACTGCCAGTGTTGACACAGTGTTTAAGCCTTTGATATATGAGTATACTGAATCTACATGAGCGAACATAGTCACATCATTACACAGTCCAGTAGATGCTGCTTGATGTATAGAGTAGTAGCTACAGTGACATAATTGCTGTGTCCATGATACAACGCAGCACTGTTGTTATCATTGCCTGGATACATGAATGCAGTACTTTCTATGACAGTGAGAAATGGATGCATGTTTTCAAATAGATGATAATGGATTTACATAACTGATACAAATATGTCTGGCATAAAAATTTTTCTTCATGTCATCATAGTATTTCAATTGCTGTTGCACTTCGGATTAAGATTCATCACTTCTTACACATTTCATCAAAACTCTACAGAATTGTTTCATTAAACATGTATGCAATATTTTTTTAGGCGTGGCCAGATCATGGTGTGCCCTCAGATCCTGGGTGCGTACTGAACTTCCTGCATGATGTGAATGCACGACAGGAGTCTGTCGCAAATGCTGGCCCAGTGCTTGTTCACTGCTCGGCTGGTATTGGTCGCACAGGCACATTCATTGTGATTGACATGATCCTGGATCAAATTAAACGGCAGGGCCTTGACTGTGAGATTGACATTCAGCGGACAATACAGATGGTTAGGTCACAGCGATCTGGCATGGTCCAGACTGAAGCGCAGTACAAATTTGTTTACCTGGCTGTGCAGCACTATATTGAGACTGTGTCACAGAGGATGCAGGCTGAGCAGGTGAGATGGGAATAGTGAAACACAAACTAATGTATTGTTATTAACTGCGTTATCCATCATTTCATTCTTTTAGTAGAAGCATGTGTTGTAATTATTTTAATACTATTTGTTAACAAGATTTAACAAATTTTGTACACATTGTGGAGGTAGTGGTACATCCTAAAGGGGGGTAACTTTTGTTTATTGAACTGTATACACTTGTCTGTTTACCACATTAAGAGTTATGCACATTATTGTATACCAAAGATTACAGAATCAATACATATAAGGATAATATTAAAAGGAAATTAGGAAAATAGGATGCATGTGTACTGCAGTTAAGTGGCTGAGCATAAGGATGTTTATGAACATAGGGATGAACGTTTGGGTACAAAAGCGGGGAATTTCTTGATAGGGTGTGTAACTATCAGATTTTAAAGGGATACCAAATACCATAGAGCTGTTGAGTTAGGACAGTAGGACCAACTTAACAAACAGTGGATTGACGAAGTATAAGGTACATGTTGAATTTTAAAATGACTAAATTGTTATATATCCATAAATTTACTAGATGATTGCATCAGCATTGTAAAATAATGGTAACCCCTTGTGTGGGCATTTAAATAGCCTGCTGCTGCACTTGGAATGACCTTCAGAATCTACACTGTAGTTGGTTTAACTTACCATTTTTTTTGGAAATCAATGGATAGATCCTTAAATTATGTATTGATGCCATCTAGTGCAGTAGAAGTTCATCAGCGTTTTAGGGGAACACACAGCCTCTGTCATCAAAGATGAAAAGTAAACCAAGCTTATTGCTTGCTGCTCCTCCCTGAGTGCCTGCCTGGCTTACTCTTGGACCTGAAAGATAGAGGCATGAAAACTGTTCATTGTGAGACATGTTACTGACAAGTATAAGCTGCCTTACTTGTCTTAAATCTCACCTGACATTCCCACACAGCGGGTTGCATCTTGCGACTTGTGCTTATGTAAGTATATACTTCAGTACTGAAATGAGGTGTTGACATGTATTTATGTTTCATCCAGAAGAGCCTGCAATTGGGGCGAGAGTATACTAACATTCGCTATTCAAGTGAGGCGCAGACAGCTGCAGGAGTGAGCGACACAGCACGTGTGGGAGGGCTAACACTTACCCTGTCTCGTTCCACAACCTCTCTCCCCACTACACCTAGCTCGGCAGGAACCAGAGACAACAAGCGTGGTCCATCCAGAGCTTCCTCTGATGCTCATCTTCCAAGGTGAGAGTGGTCTCTGCATTCATACAAGCATTAATTTCTTTTCTTGGCTTCTTGGATTTTTTCTTCATACCTTATGTAACCATGATTTAATTCAAGGTCCCAGTCATCAGTAACTTTTTATCAGTTTTCTTGCAAGTAGTGTGCAAGTTTCAAAATCAGTTGCAAGAGAATTTTCTAGCACAGGTTGTACTATGTAGTCTTTTCTTAAAATGCATCCTAAGAGAAGATTCAGTAGTTTCAGGTTCTGTTGAACATGTATGTTATGCACATATTCAAGTTCTTTTGAGTATATGTATCGATTTCTGTAGGCCTCTCAGGATTTTATCATGTGCCTATTTAGTGCTGCTTTGTGTTTGTCAAAAGTTGTGGTCAGTGTTTATCACTTATGGTTCCGTCTTACTAAAATTTTAAAGCACTTCTAATAGTGACATTTTTAAGAGAAAAATTTCAACACGAAGTCCTTGTTGAAAAGTAGTCCAAAAGTGTATGAAGAAACTACTCTGATGACAAAATTACTTGGAAGTCTGTTTTGATAAGATCTCGGTTTGCTAGTATGTTTTCCCTAGCACTTTGGACATCTCTGAAATATCAGCAGACCAGTCCACCCAACTGTGGTACCTGCTCCTAAAAAAAGTAGCCCAAAAGTGTATGAACAAACTACTCTGATGATATTAGAGCGAGGCTGTTAATAATATAATGAATTAACTGAAAAATGAAGAAATTTGTAAGTAATATTGTTTGTGTGTTTAAGCTAGGATGTGTTATATGAACATAACATGTAGCACCTAAGGGGCACAAAAGTCTGCTTGCTATACCTCAAGAGAGGAATCCACATGGGATACTTAATCATAGGTGCAAGGATAATTTTGCAATTGGTATTCAGTGTGTGAACTGGGCTAAACTGACCCAAGGTAGATACTGGTATAGGCTTTTGGTTTTTTCGTGATGGTTATGAAACTTTATGTTTATTAGTACCAGGAATGTGGGCTAGATAGTGAACACCTGGTATGGTCTGTCATAGGCACAGTTGAGTGGTGCATAAATTAAGCTCTTTGTTGTGCCTTTGTTTCTTAAGTTTTTGGCACTTTTGTTATTTTTCAGGCCACCTGATGAAGTTCCAAAGCAGATATATGAGAATATTCCATTGAAGGAACGCAAGTTGTCTGCCAATAGCTACAATATTGGACCACCTCCTAGCTTTGCTCCTCCACCTCCACCACCACCACGAAAAACGTGACACATGTTTCTGTCACCATCGTATGAGAACTCTACAGACTGAGTGTGATGTGGCTGTTTTATATTGCTTGGCACATGGTGCTTCTGTGTTCCCAGGGTCATGGCACTGTGAGAAAGATGAGGGCCTAGTGAAATAGGAACTAGTTATGTAATTGTGAGAGATATTTATTTCTTTTAAGGACTGGCAGTTTCAGTTTTGTTACACCCATTGCTGACTGCATCAGGTAAGTGTTGAACTGTGATAAGGAAGAACATTCTTCTGCACAAAGCTTTGTACTTGTAGGTTCGAACCATTCCAAATTCTTTCTCCATTGCAGTTATTTATATGTACATGTTTATTAAAGACTAACTTGTAAGTCAAGAGCCATGAGCCTGGGATTTGAAAGAAATATTTTGACTGATTATGTGTCAATAATCTGAGTGAACAATTTGGCTTCTGTTCATTTTTAGAGCAATAGTTAAGTTTTTCTACAGTGTATGCACTTCTTTTATGTGATATTGGGCTGGTGTTTTGTAATGTATGGCCATCTTACAGAATGTAACGGGCATGTTATTAATTAGATTACAATATTGAACTGTTTTAAGTTTGGTAGTACAATGGTTGAGAATTAAAAGTAACATAAGGATATGCGAAAGAGTTTGGACACAAAATATTGGCATTCTGATTGATTGTAGTAAAGGCCATTTCCTTCACTGATCTCTTGTATGTATTATTACTGTATGGGACTTTCTTTCTGACCGTTGTGTGGCTTGGTTTTTAGAGGACTGATAGAATGCCGGTTTGTCGCTGAAGATGACTTAGTTGGTTTGAGGTGTATTCCTGATGATAACAGCATCCAGTATGAGCCATAGAATTATTATTGCAGGAATTATGTAGGATTGAATGAATTGTAAAGATGATAAAGTGAATCTGGTGAGATACAAGAAAATGGTTTGGTGGTTTTTCTCATGCACAATTCTGGAATTTTCTGAAAAGACTGAGGAACCTGCAAAACTTCTAAATCAGAATAGATTGTCACCGAGACTCAAACAGATCACACCCAGTATTGCGGTTTTAAACATGTTTGGTGGCTTGGTTTTGTCTGTATTGCAAACTTTTTCAGTGACTGCTCAGCCTCTGCTAGCGCACTGTCTACAGTTTGCTGAGTGGGAAATTCTTGGTAGTGCATCTGAGGAGGGTAAAAGAGTGGGACATCAGCAGGATAGTTTATGGATGTCAGGAGCCATTTAGAGAATTAGAGACAAATTCAGGCACAGGCTGTGTCATAAAGGGGTATGTGTGAAAAATTGATTTACTGTAGTAAGAAGTCTTCATGAAAATTATTTTGTTCTTTAGAACACCGAAAATGGACATGGTCCAAAAACCAAGCAATCCAACGAATTTATATATAACTTAATTTCAGGCGTCGACTGTTATAGGAACTTAATTTCAGGCCTCGTCTGTTATAGGTCAATGAGTCAGCCTCTGTAAATGCGTATACTTTGTTAGTTCTTTATCCCTCCATTTTCTGTTTGCCAGTTTAAACCTGTCATTCAGTATCGCCAAGGAATGATATCATGAGTTAACATGGCCATTTTCTCCAACCCGAATCTGACTCCCAGACTCCCCAGCATATCTATTTTTAGCACTGCACTCCTGGTCGCAAGAATGATACGTGAGAACTTTCCTCCCAACCAAAGCTTGTTGCTTGCAGGTGTGAGAAATGCGATGCTAACAAGTGGCAACCAGGCCAACCGACGGTGTAACCCTGCAAGACAGCCTCTGTTGACACGTCAGTATCTACGTGTTATCACATATCCAGGTCTCATCACCACCACAGCTAAAAAGAGGGACAGTACGCAGTCACTATCTCCATACGTACTGGCAACTTGAGATGCTACTTTGTTTAACCATGACTCCCTTTTTAATATTGTAGGCACGGGGAAAGGCACAGTATGGACATTTTTTTGTTAACACATTACTAGTGCTATAGTATCAAAAGAAGTTAGGATCTCTATGCATAGCGAAACAATTACTGCAAGCCAGCTCGGTTTTTCTCTCTAAAAATTAGAGGAGTTACGGAAACAGTTCTGAGGATAAATTGTGTCACTCCTCTATACAGCTCTTGCGCCAATAATTAAAAAAAATTGCGATCAAGATGTTGGGTGACGCGGCAGCTCAGCTGCCTGAGGCAATATGCTACAAGTCAGAAGTTCCCGAGTTCGAGTCCTGTTGAGATTGGATGTTTTGTCAATTGACCTAATCCTTCCAGCCACAATATGACCCCGGGGTTGACTCAGCCTCCAACAGAAATGAGTACCAGGAAACTTCATGGGAGTAAAGGGCAGCCGGTGCATAAGGCTGACCACCTTACCACCATGAAAATCGGTGTCGCTCCTCCCATGTTAATATCCGCAGAGCGAAAAACACGTTAAAGTTAAGGGCTGATTATTTAATAATAAAGGATACATTACACAGTGATCTACGTGTGTTCTGTGCGCAATTCCAATAACAGATGATAATGGGTGCAAATCAGTGGTTGATCATTGTACAGCAAATCTGAGTGTACATTTTATACCCAATATATCGTTTCCATACGTCTCTCGGTTTTTGAGATAATAAAACGGGAGTGAATGTGAAAAACTGTTATGCTATGTGTACATTTCCTAACTTGTTCTTACTCCCTTCTATCAAGTGTTACTTCTGTGTTCAAAACCTACACAACACACAAGTAACACACAGTGCTGGAACTGACACCTTGCGTTAGTTTTATGACTGTCCCTTCTGCGCCCTAAAAAGTGCCTGGTTGTACCTCTGCCAGAGTGAGGATAGGGAGAGAGAAGTATTTGCACTACTCTCCCAGTCGTCTGCGAGAAGAAAATTGAATATAAGAAACAATATCACATAAAAATAATTTTTTAAATTTTGCAAAATCTGCGTTCCAATACAGAGAGCCAGAACCCTTTGCTGATTTGTAAGAATATTGTAATGTAGCTCTGGCCTCAGGAGGAAAGAAACCTGTAAGCAGCCATACTCATTTCTTTCTTCAAAATAATGTATGGCATTAGCAAAGGCCAGCCACAATATTTTCAGTAAAGTACACTTGGTCATCAATGACCCATGCGACTTACGGCCACCAAGAGAGAGAGAGAGAAAAAAGAAAGATGATTAAAATGTAGAAGTTTTTTAAAAAGAATGATAAAGGTAATATAAATATTAGAAAGGTTAAAAATACTGTTAATAAATATATGACCGACCTACGAACTGTCAGTCGGAACGGAAGTCAGTCGTAAGTTGATGACCAAGTGTATCTTCTGCCTCCCGAAAAGGGCAGTTGTTGAACAAGAAACCGGATATCAATGGGTTCTACAATCGAAGCACAAACATTAGACTGTCATTGATGCTTTCAGTGTCTATGGTAAAGTTGGAAAGAACAAAATGCAGTACAAAATCTGTAAATTCTATTTCCAAAATTGGAGAAGGATATTACGTGCAAAAATGTGTTAACAAGTTTACATAAATTACACTGCTCTGAAAATGACTGCCTTCCTCTGAAACTTCGACAGGAATCTGTCACACTACTTATCATATTTATAAGCAGCATTGTCACAGCCTAAAACCTCACAAATACACTAAGTTGTCTGTACACAATTCAGTGGTTCCCTTTGTAATTCTGTTTCATAAATTTACGTTTGATTTAATCATTCATAGGTGACTTATATGTCATGCACTAATGATGATGCATGATGCCTTCCCAATTTAGTAGCTTCAGTGAGAACACATGTGACAGAAGACCGTGAGAAAGAAACTAGGGGTAGAAATAGAAGCTAAATAGGCCTGTAGCAAGATGAACGTAAAAGATGGAGGATGAAGAAAGCAGTCTTCTGGGATTTGGCACCGTGTATATGTGGTGATAACTGATGTTTCGGAGGAACGTATCACCTCCATCTTCAGGGTAGAAGGAAAAATATAAGAAATCCGCAAGCGAAGAGACCATGCGAACCGGTTCTCACGGTCTCTTCGCTTGCGGATTTCTTATATTTTTCATGCGAACCGGTTCTCATGGTCTCTTCGCTTGCAGATTTCTTATATTTTTCCTTCTACTCTGAAGATGGAGGTGATACGTTCCTCCGAAACGTCGGTTAACACCACATATACACGGTGCCAACTCCCAGAAGACTGCTTTCTTCATAGTCACCGCCGTGAAAGCCTCAAATCTTACAAGATAGAGGATGTTTTGAAAACAAAGTACGGAGGAAAATATGTGCGTTTAGGAGATATATAGCAAGTAAGCAGAAGGAGCTTCATGATTTTCAAAGAAATATTTTTTTACATCTCTAGTAAACTTGTGAAGCAAGGCATTCGTCATCATCTGATCTAAGTCTTGGTTTATTCATATAAGAGTATATACAAAATAAAGCACAATAGACCACTGTAGGTCGCAGTGCAAGGGCTGAGGAGGCCTACCCCTCATACACTCATTCATGTACAAAATAGAACAGTTTTTATGAGAAGGAAGGACAAGAATGTGAGGAAAGAACTGGAGTCAGAACTAAAGCACCATATGATACAATAGCAGTGATGATAGAAATAAAAAAATCTTGTCATGGCATATGAAATTGCTAGGTGTTCTGTACACAAGACATAAAATGAATAAAACCTAATAGGAACTTAAGCCCATACATGTTACTCCATCTGTACCTTACATTAGTGTACAAATTAGCCATACAGTGGGATCATTCTGAAATGGCAAATTTCCTTTACAAACAAATAAATGGTGCATGAGATTCTGAAGTTTTGAATATTTTGGATCAAAGCAGGGAATGTGACAATTTTGTTTCTTTATTATGAAGTACACTTTCTTGCTCATGAAATTTTTATCTACTCCATGTAGCATCAATGGTAACAACTGTGACAGGATCTTCAAACTGTGTACCAATCAGCAATATAGGCAACCTCTAGGTTATACAAGTGTTGCAGTTTGTAATTTCCAGACAAGACAGTCAGTTGTCATCAAGACGATCCTGTGCCACCTTTTCCATTTGAGCCTGGAATATTTCCCCAATTTCTGATAGTGACTTTCGTAGTATGATAGGAACATCATCATCTCGTCTCTGAAAATATAAAGTAAATTTTACACAGCGCTACTATTATGGGGTGTTATTTGCCAGTGTAATGAGGGCAGAGTGAATCTGGGGTAAGTATACCCGTATGGCATTCTCCAAAGAAACGATTAGTTAAGTGTCTGACAGTTCATACATGTATATAATGGCTCTAATAACCATGTATAGAACCATATAAAGAACAAGGGGTTTAGGATGAAACTCATTGCAGCTTCTTTCCTACTATACAACTGCAGTCCTACATATCTTGTGTTGCTGGTGTAAATTTAGGTAATGTAAATGTATAATCCAACAATAAAATTCATTCTAATTAACGGAAAATAAATGCAAATAAAATACATTAATACATTCGTATTCAACAACTTTCCCGATACTTAGGACTAAAGCAAATGGCCTCAAGATCTAATCCTAGTCAGAAATATTTCTGCCAGTAATTGTAAATGTGTTACAGATTATTATTTAAATTTTGAAAGACCAGATACTCTCTACATTAAATTTACCAAGATTATGATCTTCTGGGATGTGACAGCATATTGTTTTGTAGACATATATCAGGTATAGCCTTGAAATTTTGCGTTGATGCCATGTTTGTAATTGTTTACTTATAAACAGTATTTTGTATTATATACATAGTTTTGCAGGTATGGTTATGATCTATGCAGTGCTTAAGCAATGGTACATTAGCTACTGTTATCGAGCTTAAAGCTATATACAGATCTTATGCCCCTGCCATATTCATTTTTTCTCCTTCTGTTCTGCAAAGATTACAGTAACAAAGGGCTCCTTTTTTTTAAAAATCTACTGTTATACATCACTTCAAAATCGTAGACTAGAGCTGCATGTGTCAAAGTCAAAATCAAAGTCACATTGCAACTGACAGTCGGTCAGTCTGTCTATTTGTATTATTTTATTATGTGCATTTCTATTGCTGAAATATTTATTAACTCGTAACATTCTTGAAATTAATTTATTTGGCCCTCATTTAAAACAGTTACACTTCCTTGGTGTAATATTTTGAGTTGTTTTGGCTTTGCATTTACATAATTCTTGAATAATAATAATAATAATAATACTGTACTTAGGGTCCATTGTTTCATTTTCTCCCCATAATAAGGCACATTTCTATCAGAAATTGAAGTCTGATTTTTACTTAGCATTTAGTCTGGTTTATAAGCTATTTATATATTTTAAATGACAGGAGAAAGTACGGTTTTGTTAGTAGAATTTAATTATGAAAGAAATGTTAGGTGATGAAGTCACCATTCATGCCAGCAGCAGTAATTTGTAATTCTGTTTGGTTCGTTAAGATTTTGTTAGAAGCTGACTGCATGAATGGATACAATAGCAAAGGGTTGAATAACAAGTGACAGTGGAGGCATTGTGAGAACACAGAAACATTCCAAGGAGCTGGTTGATATCATCTCATATTCTTGGAATGTAGCAATTTCCTGATGCCTAGAAAAGTACTTGTTTGATATTTTGTGTTACCATTTAAATGAGCTTGCCTGAAAGAGTGTTTCACCTTCAAAATCAACAAACTTGTGTTTTCTTGCACGGAGAAGCACTCCAACAACCTTATTTGAAATACCTGTGTAGATCTGCAATGGAAAACATGAAGTAATTATTAAGAGGCTGACCCTTGAAGATAGATTTATAGTTATTTGTGTTGTTTCTGCATGAAGCAAAAACAATAGAGGAAAAAAGTTCACAAATTTTCCAGATAAGTTCCTTGTAATTTTGGATGTCGCATTCATCTTGATATTCATTTATGAAGACAACTGTTGGCAGAGATAATCAACAAGAAAATAGTTTAGAGGAGTAATTTAGTTACTATATATGATATTCAGATATGTCCCAAATAAAAGCTGTAAAGTAAAGCTATCCCTGTACCAGGTCATGAAGGCCCGTAGGGTTGTGAGACGTTGAGGTTCCCTCATTATCTAGACAGTCAGCTTGGTAAGGTTGTCAGCCTTACACGCCGGCCACGCTTTACTCTCCAGGAAAAATTATTTAATTAATTCCTGGTACTCATTTCTGTTAGAGGCTGAGTTGACCCCAGGGGCAATGTGCGGCTGGAAGGGTCAGGTCAATTGAAAAAAAAATCCAATGACCTCATCGGGACTTGAACCCATGACCTTCCGGCTTGTAGCATAGCCCCTCAACCAACTACGCTACCACGTGCCCCAAATAAAAGCTGTAATCAATCTTAATAAGATCTGCATTTGTGGCGTGTACTACAATATTTTTAGGCAGTGTATTATGGTCTGATATGGCTGAACAGATTTCCCAACAACTCTGGCATACTCGTAAACTCCAATACCAGCTTTCATCACAGTTTCTTGATTAGTTTTGTAGATGAAACATGCAGGCAAATAGACTGATGAACATAATTTCTGCATTCACTTCATCTAAATGTATAAAATGCATAACAACATCTAAACAGTCGTTAATGTTTTTGATGCCCAGAATCCTTTGTTCAGTTAGATTTTTCTTCAAGATACAGGTATGCAGTGAAGATTGTTACTTAGTTGACTGGTTCTATGGCTCTGTGCTTCATGGCAACCAATGCACCACCAGCTGTGAGGCATATACGAATTTTGCCAATGAATCAGCACGCCTGACAGTTGATAATATTCGGAATGAAGTAGTTACAATTCACGGATCATAGGATTTTTTAAAATACCGTCCCTTATATGTAGACTTTTTTGCAATTAATTGTTTCATTAAGAAACATAGGTACAGCAATCCTTTTTGCGCTTACAGCACACCAAACACCAACTTTCACTGGATTGATAAGGATTTCTTGGGTTAGATGTGAATTCTGTGAACCCCAGTAGCTATTATTTTGCGTATTTATGTGTCCCTGCAAGTGAAACCTCTCTTCAGCAGAAAAGAATGTCAATTGCGGATCGATCTCATATTTGATGACGGTCTGTAGAAACCAACTGCAAAAATGAACCCTTCTAGCTGTATCGCGCGGCTGCAAGGTGTGCATGGATTACTGTTTTACTGGGTCTAAGCTTCAGTAATTGTGTTGCCCTTCTTGCACTAGACGTTGACACTATAGTCTCTTGAACTAGGTGTTTCATTGATTTTCTAAGTGTATGTTCAAACCTGGCCCCTATGTCATCTAATGAATGAATGAATGAATGCATGTATAAGGGGAGGGCCTTCTCGGCCCTTGCACCGCGACCTACAATGATCTATTGTGCTTCTCCTTTTGATTATCCCCTCAGCAAATCCTGCACTCAAAGTGCAGGATTTTGTACGTGCGGGCGTCGAAATAGTCACTTAGTTGCATAAAGAATTGACCCAAGTGACATAACCTTAAATAAGCTAAGGCCTCACATGCACACAGGATATGTGTGGCTGTTTCATTTTCTTCTTGACACCTCTCACAAGTGGGACTATCACTTAGTCCCAGTTTGAAGAGGTGTCCTTTAAGGTGACAGTGTCCTGTAAGTAGTCCCGACACCCATCATAGCTGGTTCCTCTTTAACTTCAACAGTTCCTTTGCTCTTTTATCAGAGGGTCCTCATATTAATCCATTTGCTTGCCTGAGTCCAGTTAAGGATCCCTAGTATTTCTTGTGCCCTGCGTCATCTAAATTTTCCTCAGTAAGCACTTGGCGCTTATGTTTTGTTTCTTATCTATTAAGAGTCACGTTGATTTAAGTTCATTTACCAAATTGTGAATTGTTTGTCTGCTGTGAACTCTCTCATCACAAAAACTCCCACACATGAACCACACTGCTCACCATGAAACATAATACCATAAAGCAGTCCACAAGTTAATTACCTCCCTTCGTTGCAAATAGTATTGGTCATCAGGCATACTGATTCAATGGCAAAATTTTTATTCACCGCCCAGCAATGAGGTCGTGAAGCACAGAGCCATGGACCTGTCAACAAAGGTAAAAAACTCTCTGTATTATGAATTAAGCCAGGTGTCACAACATACAGGTATACCAACCTGAAACAGCTCCCCAAAACTGATAACTATCTGGTTACGTCCATCCTCTGTCATCTCTTCTATTGGTTCACCATTCTCATATATAATTTGACACAACTGTAGGACCTCTCTGCTGATGTGTGTGTATGCTCTCTTGCCTCGTATGTCTGTCTTTGAACCAGCTACTGGCCTGCAGAATAATATGCACACACAGACAATGAATGTTTAACATGTTACACAATTGATATTCTTTTCTGATGAAGTGTGGTTTCACTTGCAGGGATACATAAATATGCAAAATAATAGCTACTGGAGTCCACAGAATCCATATCTAACCCAGGAAGACCTTCTCCATCCATTGAAAGTTTGTGTCTGGTATGCTGTAAGTGAAAGAAGGATTATTGTACCTTTGTTTCCCTGATGAAGCAATTAATTGTGAATGGTATGCATAGGTCATCCTCGGGCAATTCTTTCCAGAGTGTGCAGAAGAAAAAAAGGCTATATGGCTGGTTTAAGTAAGACTCAACTACTGCCCACACTTCACGTATATCTACGCAGACTTCGTCCGATATCTTCAGGGACAATTATCAGTGGTGATATTTGAAGGACGAAGCTTACAACAGTTACCCCAGAACGGAAGAGGAATTAAAAGAAATTTTTTGTAGGGAATTGCAAACATTCCTGAAGAACAGCTTCAAAGTGGTAAATCAGAAACACTTCCGGTGTCACGAGGAACATCTACATCTAGAGGGACAACATTTTCAACACCTCTTGTGATGTGTTAACAAAGATAAGGACTTCCCTTAATTCCGAATGTTTTCGGCAGTCAGGTATGCTTATTCATCAATGAAATTTATCTGCGCATTGCAGCAAGCTGTGCAACGACTGCCGTGAAGCTCTGAGCGCTGATCAGTGGAACCCGTCACAAAGTAAAAATCTTCCCTGTACAACATACATCATCCCTTTAACTTTGTTACCTTTTTTTTTTCTATGCATAAGCTACTGCACTGCTTCCTAACAATACTGGCTACTGATTCGTGAAAGAGAGGAAAGGCGAACTCGAATCAGGTACACATTTTAGAAACACGTTCTTTATGTATACTGCCTACATGCAAACAAAACTCACACTATCAACATCATATTACAAGAGCTGGATATTATTCCATTATTTCACAAAATGGGCATATTCAGCTACAAATAAATATTTACGAAAGGTATCGATTTAAATTATATGCCGCTTATGTTTTATATAATGTACCAGTTTTATGTACGATGAACCATCTTTTAGAAAATTGATAGGGCGCAGTACAAAACTGGGGTTATATTTAACTTTGGTTAGTTTAATTTTTAATTTAATATTTAATTTTGGTGTAGGCCACAAAACTAAATTTTATAATAAAAAGATTCCGTGGTTTCGGCTATGAAACCGGTATGCGTCAAGACAGGTAACAGTCAAGACACGATGTCTGCGACATGAAGCAAAAAGGAGCACAGTTGAAACGAATGAGATTATGAAAACCGCCGCACACCAATCTGAGTCATGACGCTGACGTCAGCTTCCTGCTGACGAATCACGAATGAAGCAAGACTGCGTCTTTTGTCACATGTTTTGATGCTTGTCTTGACGCAGTTGGTGTGCGGCCGCCCTTAGAGACATACGAAGAGACATGTCCTCCCTGTTATGAATTAGTTTAGAAGCTGATTCTCGCATATAAGTATGACGTTCGTGTAACTTAGTTACGTAACCAGGCTGCCTTAATTTTACCTGCCGTAATTTGGGTCGGTCTTGTCAAGTTTAGGCTTATCGAGTGTCGCTCCCTCAGCAGTACTGAACGGGTTCCTGGCTTGCCTGTCGCGGTGCTGGTCCGCCTGTTTGTTGAACTGCGCCACTTTCTCCGACAGCCCTACGTGTCGGCAGGAGCGCATATCTGATGGGGTGCTCTGAAATACATTATAAGGAACAGACCTGCTGCGTCATATTCTCTTTCAAGTTGATACTCATCTCCAGAAACAAATAAGAAATATGCTAGGAATTACTGGGTTTTTGGATTTTTTCCATCGTCCGGTATTCTAGAAGGGAATACCCGATTTGAATACAACCGATAAATGGATATACTGGTGTCCTTCGTGGCTTTCCCCAGTCCCTCAAAGGAAATTCTTTGTCAGTAACCTCAGTACACCACAGTCCAATTCACCGTGCATGCTCTTCTTTCAACTCGTTTTCCGTAATAAAACTCTTAAACTCTGAGTCACTGCAGGTTTAGTGACTGTGTTGCGGGCTGGAAGACCGGGGTTCGAGATCTGAGAAAAGCAAGGACTTTGCTCTTCGCCAACGCGTTCAGACTCACTGTGGGGCCCACAGAACTTGATGTTCAGTGGTGTCCGTGTTTCCCTCCACTGGAATAAAGCGACCGGGGCGTGAAGCTGGCCACTAACCCCCCTCCAGTGCCGAGGTTAAGAATATATAATTATAGCCTATATCTTCTCCCCCCATATTTCTTCATGGCGTGATGTTTCACTGACGGCGAGACATTACTTTAAAGTGAACATACTGTAGTATGTTCGTCTACAAAATTGTAACTGTCGCATGCTTTGATAAGAAACAGAAACGTATATCGGGCCTGAGGAAGTGGCATTTCTGCTAATTTGTAATAAATTACTTAATTCGAGCAGTGGTGTCTTCTCATCCATTGCGGGAGATGAGCTTGTTCTACTGGTTGTGAATATTTCTTGGTACGTTTTTTATTATTTTTATTTGGAGCATAATAACAAATGAAGTATTAAAATGCAGTAAAATTATTTATATTTAATGTCATTTATTGTACTGAGTTGGGATAGGTCGATCGGTATAGCGATGGGTAACGGGCTGGACGGAAGGGGGTTCGATTCCCGGCAGGGGCAACATTATTTTCTCCTCCATACCGTCCAGACCAGCTCTGGTGCCCACCCAACATCTTATCCAGTAGATACCGGGGCTCTTTCCCGAGGGATAAAAAGGCCAGGGCTTGAAGCTTACCACTTACCTCCATCTAGTGCCGAGGTCAGGAATGGTGGATTTATACCTCCACTCCCCCTTATGTTTTCGTGGCCTAGTGCTTAATTAATGAAGAAGGGCGTCAACTTTACCTTTTTGATTTATTGTACTTGCAATCCATACACACATCCCCCCTCCACACACACACACACACACACACATTACTTACGTGTTAATACTGCTGGTGTGAAGTGTGAGGTGGGACTCGTGTGTTGCTAGTGCTAAGATGTAAGTGGTGTGAGTATGGGCTCTCGGACAGATTTCTTGTGAAGCGAAAGTTACCAGTTGTTCCACTGCGCAACTTTACCAATTGTTTTCGGTTTGTTGCATCTTTTTTTTATTGCTAGTGGGGTGGGACTAAGTCCCTTGTACTGCGGCCATTTCTGATCTATTGTACCAGCCCCAGATGATAGGCGAGGGTGACTATGGAGCAATTTGTGGAATTAAGATTGGCAGGGGAAACGGAAGTACTCGGAGAAAACCTGCCCCAGCGCCACTTTGTCCACCACAAATCGCACTTGACCAGACCCGGGATCGAACACGGGCCGCCGCGGTGGGAAGCCAGCGACTAACCGCTTGAGCTATGGCGCGGCCCTTGTTGCATCTCGATAAGATTTGAACACACTCATAGGTCCCAGAGACTCTTCCACTTCGGTGGGTCGGTAAATATTATTGTCACTCATTTCTGACGAATACCCGACAAAAATTAACAAGCATTAGTTCGAGCACAGATATTCTCTCTCTTTCTTGCCACATATAACCTCTGATATTCGCGTCACAACCATTTCGATAGTTTCAAC